GCTTTGGATTTTTTTGTGAAGTCCTGAACAACATCCACTCCAAGCACAAATGAAGGCATGCTTAGAACTTGAACTTGAACAAAGCTAACTTAGAAAATAAAGAATCACTTCCTGACATAGACTGCTTTTCTAAAAACAAACAATTTATCTAGCCTTATAGCAGGTTCCAATAATATATGATTCTTCCAAAAAGGATTTGATTATCTTGTTCATTACATTTCTCATATTCTTATTTTAGAAATTAAAATACATCTTGGCAGATGTTTATAAATCTACACTTGAGGTGTAAAACAAACCAAAAGGGTACTGAATCACATCACAATTACAGATATTATCAGATGACTAATAAGATTAATGTGACAAATGTTATGAAAAATAATACTTCTAGTGCTCAGTCCTGATTCATTTTAAGGCTGGCAAGAAAAGAACCTGATGCACATTTGGAAAGCCTGCCCCTTAGAAACTGCACTAGACTAAAACATGTATCGACAATACCATCAGTCAAAGAGCATGCTGAGATAAACTATATACTGTAAGTCTCTTAACCAAGGAAGAAATAGAATAGAGACTGGAAAGTTCCTAATGCAGAGTTTCTTTGTCTCTTTTCGGCCTGGATCTCCTCCTGGGATTATAGAGAAGCACTGTGCAGTGATATCAGTGCTATTTTAGGTACTATGTGAAGTCTTTGGAGACCCTCTGTGATATATGGCTTTGATATCAAGAGTAATTACTTGCTATGAGGTCCAGAGAGCCCCGAGAAAGAGTAATACAAAGAAAACATGCGACGCTGATGAAAATCAGCAATTGTTATTTGATTTTATCACTGCTTTGAAGAGTTTCATTCAACAGTTCTCTCAGTGAAAGAGTAAGATAATGTAAAATATCTAGTTTTCCATAACATGCCTAGCAAAATCTTTTACAAGTAATTTATGCACCTATAACTAGGATATTTAGCAGTTTTAGTAAAAACCATAGTTGTATGCCTCATGAGAAAATCAATACAAAACAAATTTAAATGAATAGCCTCAAAAAGAGAAAAAGATTGTAACAGAATATAAACACAGACATATACATGTATTGGATATACAGACATATACGTATAGTATACTTTATATAATCGTATGTTATATATAAACATGAAATATGCTACATGTTAATATATACATATACCTTTTTATTGTATATGTAATTCTTTAATGAGGCATTAACCTATTGAGGCTCTTTTACAAGGGTACGCCTGGAAAGACAAACAGGGACAGCAGGTAGTTTGGCGGCATTGACAACAATTTTGCATTAAAAATAATTTCATCCAGCAGAAATGTTTTTCATTTTGCTACAATCTGACATGTACTCTTTAAAATACATGTAAGTCAATATATTTTTGATGATTTATACATACTGTACATTATTTTAAGAATCTATATTGCTATAGTATATTTTTTAGATTAGAAGCATTGAGTCATTCAAGATAGACTTTTTTGTTTCTTGTTGCTCTACCAAAACCATAATTTAACAAGATTAAATTATGTTAAAATACCACTAACAGGCAAGTTCAAATGTTTTCAATTAAAATCCAACAGCAAATGCAGTGCCAAAACCAATTAAAGGTTAACATAGTATTGAAAATGTCATTAGCATCCTCATTTACGTGTCTGAGAAACACAAGGGTGAAATGAGAAGGAGAGCTGCAGGTGTTTTATTGGTTAAGACACAGTTCAGCTTCAACATCTGAACTCTACATGTATTTAAAAAAAAAGTTTTGATGCATCTTTTTCGAAGAAATAATGAAAATAAGAATCTGCTATTTTTCCCAGGATCTCATCCAGCTGTTTTTTGAAGAAAACAGGGTATCGCCTTCAACAGCATGGCTGGCAGCTTGTTACATGATTTAAATACCCACACCAGCTTCAATCCAGCTTCAATATCCAATTCCACAGTTATCCTCAGCCCCTGCCAAATAAACCCATGTGCTACAAACAGCTGCATCATCAAGGTGTGTGACAGGCCTCCAGATTCAAAAGAACAAGACATGAAAAACTAATGTATCAGTGATCAAATAAACTGTGTTGAAGAGTGCAAAAAAAGAACTATTAGAAATTATTGCTCCACAAAATCTTTCATTCAAGTACTGCAACAGGTTAGATTCTCAAAGACCAAAAAGCAATTGGTATTGTAAATAGTACCCGTGTTTCTGTTCTTCCTATTTTCATGTGTGTGTGTGACAGTATGGATGCTGATGGGTGTGACCACTATATTTGACTGATTCCCAGTTCCTGTGGGTTGTCATAACAGGAGCCTGTAGCTGTGGATCACCAGCACCCGTGGGGGAGAGAGAGAGAATGTGAGTAGAAGAAACCCAAGTGAGATTGCTCTCTACTGGAGTCACCCAGCCCTCTGTTCTCTATAGTTACCAGCCCTGGTAATAAAGCCCAGGGAAATAAACCGGGGCAGGCTCCCACCATCTGACCGTCTAGTTGCTATGTATGTATGCAAGGTATTTAAGGCACTTTCTTACTTATCACTCTCAAATTTAATAAAGGTAGCTAACCACATAAATTTAGGTCTGAGTCCTTATGTGCTATTTGTCCTTAGAACCTATGAAATTATAAGTTATCTTACAATACCATTACTTTGGTAAGTTTATTTTTTAACATAATGTATCAATCTTTAGGACACAGCTGACAAAACCTATATTTACAGCCCTTACAGCCCATTACAGATACAGCTCTGGTTTTCATAGTAACTTTCTAGTTTTCAGAGTATATATTACAGCTATATGTTACAGTCTTTACTGTATAAATTCTCTGTGTTAACACTGGAGTTAGAAGGAGACAGTATGTGCAGCAGTCATGGATCCAAAAATCTGCAGGCAAATGTGTGCTGACTGACTAGATAGAGAATCATTTCATTTAGAATTACTAAAAAAGACTTTGCAGTGTGCATTAAAGATAATAAGCTGAAAATGTAATTTGGGTTTAAAATAGTGCTCCACATTTTGAAAATTACTAAATATATTACACATCTACAGTAATTATAATTGCTAAGGATTACATATAATGGCAGTTTCACTGCTCTTATATACTGTATATAACTATCATATACTCTATAACTATCATAATTTCCCAAGTGTTAGCATACGGATTCACAAATTTCTTTTAGTTTATATTTAGTAGAACAGACACTTTGCATTTAATTCCAATGGCACCTACCAAATTTACCTTACTTATGCAGAAACCTAACTTTAGGGAAAGTAAACTACAGATGAAGAAATCTGCCTTTGGTTTACATGATGACTTAAGACATAAAAATGTATTTGGTTAACATAATTATCACTACCAACAATTAATGATGATTACATAAGGAGTGTCCAACCAACACACATTTGTTCTTGTTGATAAGGAAGGGCTGAATAAAATATTTAAGGTGGAAATACAAATAGGAAACAAAACAAATGGATGGACTCTCCTACAATAACATTATAGAACATCACAAAAATCTAAGACACTACCACAACTCAGTTTCAAAGTCAATGTCCCATATATTCTCAAAGGCGTGCTGTAATCCATATTATAATATACTGTCATGGATGCCCTGTGAATTCATTTCTAAATATAAACTCATTCCCTCCTATTCTCTTTTCATTTCTGTCACCTCCTGCATTATCTAGAGTTGGAAGCCTTCTCTGAAGATTTCTTTCCTCCTCCACCCATGGGCTTTCAAGTCAGCGCCTAGCAACAGCTGTAAACGCCTGCTGGAGGCGGCTTTTTACTGTGATACCCTTCTTTGAATTCTTCAGATGCAAATGAAAATTATGCTGATAAAACTGCAAATATCACAAGATTTTCCTACAACATTATAAATTCTTTTTTTTATCCCATGTCTAGGCTTGCAAGCACATAATTAAATAAAACGAAGGTATTGATTGAAACTAAATCACCCTCTCCCATTCTGGTCAATACGATTTAGTGCAAGATGCAGGGGCATTCATTAGAGTAAGTTTTCTTTATTATGTTAAGTTTAATTCATTCAGTAGGATAAGGATTACTATGCTGTGTGAGGGGAGTAAACCAAATTATCAAGGAGATCAATTACTTCCAGCTGTTCAGGAATTAAGTTTTCTTAGCATACAGTATACTGTAATTCTAAATTAGATATACCGTACCTTATCAAATATAGGATAACTATTTACTGTATGTTGATACTTTCATTCCCATACTGTATATAAAATAAACAAATATCAAGTTTAGTTATTTAAATAATAGTTATTGTTTTAACAATGCTTACTGAAAACCCAATTATGATTCACTGTATTGGCAAGTTTTCGCAAACACCCAGTACTAATCAGATTTTGGGGGGATCTTGAAAAACATTAAGTCATGCAATATTTTGGGTTTATCTGATTTAAACTAATCCTGTTTAAACAAGCTTGTACTGTTTTGGAAGTAAGTTACTCTTAAGGGTTGTGTAGCTGGCACAGCACACAATTTCTAAGCAATTCAATAAGATTAACATTAAATTAGATCGATACCAATGTATTTTATATTTATATTCCATAGAAAAACAGGGGATGTGGCTGTATCCCACTGTGTCATTATAGTATTAATATTAATTATAAATATTCATATTAAATATTAATTGTAAAATCATAGTTATCATACTTGAACTGATGCTTTCTGTTTTTAAATATATGACCCTTATTAAGCTAGCAACGAAAAGCAAGGTCTACTGCTTTGCATAAAAAGGACAAAAAAAGTAGACAGCTATCTACTCATAGTTTACGAAAACACTTATATTTTAAAACAAAATCACCTTTTGGGTAGTGATGAAAAAAAACACATTGAAAACAGATTTTAGAATCTTATTTCTTTGTATTTGACAAGAAGGACTGTATTTTTCATCTGTAAGCAGCTTAACCATATTTAATTTTGTTCTATCAAAAAAAATGAGCGATTTTCTCATTTCCGCGGACAACAAGTTCACAGGAGGCTGTTGCCACTCACCTCTGAGACATTATCTTATAGGCATCTGGCAAGTAACATCTTGTGTTTTCCATCTGGGCGGGGTCAGCGTCACATATTTTGTCATCTGTCCTCCCGTAGTTGGCACTCTCGATCATGATGACATCCGTGCCAGGGCAGCGAAGTTCTATGGGGTAACTCTCACAGGACAGCTCCCTCCGTACAACTGCCATGGGAATCGGCGCTCGACTAAAGGCTGAAAGCAAAGCAGACGGTACAAAACCTTTTTTATTTTCAAAACAATACATACTTCTAGGATGGTAATTTGTTTTCCTACTAAATTGATCTTGATCTGAGCATTATGGTGCTGCATGGTGTGTTACTGTACATACTGTATGGCCTTGTACTGTACGTCATGCAATGTCTGAAGCACTGGTGCAGAAGTAGTGTTTCACAACCATTTATTTTAAGGGCTGCTCCTTGTTATGTGACAGGAGTCAGTAGCATTATTATCCGTGGATTTTGAAAACAAATTATGCAACAAAAATCTCTTATATTTTGCTGTCATAAATAAATCAGAAAGGGGAATCTTTTTTGTGTGCTGCTAAAATGAAGCAAGCACTGAATGATCAGCACCATGCGGTGTTCATTATCCACTACTGTAAATGCATTATTATACAGTATACCTTCAATAATTTCCCCAAATGTTGGATTCTGAAGGACAATTATAAATAAGTTATAAATATAAACAGGCTCCTGTCTTTTCAGAAGACACTGAAATAGAGGATTTAACCAACAGATACAGGTTTGAAAATATAAAATATTTAACATTGCACTCTACAATTTTTGGAAAATGATCAAATGCATCATTTAAGGATCCTGACAAGCATGAAAAGGTATCTGCTATCATAGTGACAGTTGTAGATGAACCCTTTAAGTTCAATTTGAGCTTCAAAGTCAGTGTTAAAAAGCAAATACTGTACAGTATTCTTAGTTTTATTTATAGTCCCTTGTAAAAGTCTTCATACCCTTCCTATGATGTCCCATTTTGTGACATTACATAATGATGCATACCCATTTTTGAAACTCATTTTTATTTAAACCCTGAAGGTTCAAACTTAAGTCTCCTAAAGGTAAGGTAATTTACAGTAAATGTCTGCAAAAAAATATTTATTGCATATGTTCAGAATCTTGTAAATCCTCTAAATATTCTTTCTGTATTTATTTGCTGTTCAACTTCTTGCAAGTTGTGTGCATAACAAATATCTATTTCTACTTGAAAGTGTCATGACAGCAGACATTAAAGCATCAAATTGCCAAAACTGTGCAAGGGTGTGTACACTTTTGAAAGGCAATGTTTAATGATTTGGAGGCAGACGATAAAAGCAATAGAAAATCTCTCGTCTGATAATAAATAAAGAGAGAGCCGCAGAAATGAGAATAACATATGACACAATCGTATGAGTAAGAATCAATTTAAAGATTTCAAACAGCAGAAAGTCAGTTGTAAATGTTATATTGTACTGCACGTATTTACTCAGAGAAGCAAAATGCAAACAAGAATCTGTTGAGAATTGTAACAGATGTGTGGAGGTGGTTTCAGAACAATTATTTTAAGATGAAGTGATGCCACGGGTTTATTTTTCAAAATCCATTACAAATTACTATTATCCATTACGAATTCTAAAACACAGGCACTGAAACAAATACCAAAGGCTAACGCAACATTTACATAGCTTTCACCACCACTAACCACTATACCCCTTTTGTTACTTTTTGAACATATTTAAGATGTTAAAAAGAAGCTACTGAATGCTTCATAAGGATGTGTGTTTTTATTAACTTATACTCTACATTTACTGTATTTACTGCATGTTGAACAATTTACAATAATAGCGGATCAGAAAAAAAATGGAAAACTTTTTTCTTATAGTTTTTTTTTAAATAAGCAAGGTGAAACCTTTTGTGCTCAGTGCGTGATCTTCAGAATTTTTTGTCACAATTTAATGGAATATGTTCAACATTTATAAATAATAGATTGTGATGTCACTCAATAGTTGTTTACACCTTCTTGCCTTTTATTGAATATTATAATTTAAAGTAATGTAAGGATGTGTAAATTATCAGAGTTTTTTTTAGAAATATCCTTTGTAATTTCAGGGAAAAACATATGTCTCTCATTATCCAACAGTTTGATCCATGAGAAGTTTTACCAGTTATCTCCAAAGCTCTAAGATGCCAAGACAGGTGATGAATTTTTAAATCTTGTTCCCTTATTGTCAGTAAATCTACAAGGTAGACCTGAGGCATTATACTATCAAATGTATTGAAATGTTGCTTTTCTGCTTCATCAGTGCAATATATAAGTCTCAGCTGGTAAACCTTTAAACAATTTAATCTACTATTCAAAGAAAAATCTTCTCCCATGAATACAATAATTAATATACAAAAGTAAGGTTTCATTTGCACTGTTGTTAAACAATTCTGTAAGTGCTTATCATTTACTTTAACTCCGAAAAAGCTTCAAATATTATACATAAAGGATGAAAAACATGCCTTGAACATAAAGCCCCATGGAAATGAAAGAAATTACTCAATAGAAAAGTCATACAAAGTTTGTTACTCTCAGATTAATATCAATCAGTAACACAAAAATAATAATAATCTTGTTATGAATCACAATCTGTGATGAAACCAGGGAAGAAAACTCTGAAGATCACATTCTAGAAAAAACACCAAACATTATAGCTGTTTATGGTGCCAAATAAAAATGAGAATTTCAGCATTTTTTATTAAGTCCTACCACAAAGGACCATTAAGGTTGAAGTAAAGTGTCTCAAAGATGAAAATCATAAACATTTAGATGATCAAACAGAAATGACTAATATATTAAATGAATATTTCACTGTGTTTACCATGGAAAAAGAATTACCACATGCCCCAGGCAGGGAAAGGCAAAGTTATATATTAAATATTAATAGCACAAAAGAGACATAAGTGATACAGGTACTAGAAGCACTTAAGACAAACAAATCTCCAGGGCATGATAGTATTGTATCAACTGTACTTAAAGAAACAAGATATGTAATTTATAGGCCAATAAAAAAGTCGTATACAAAACTTCTCCAACAGTTACTCGAGATAGCCATAGCCATTGACTAGAAAACAGTTAATGTAGCATCCATCCATAATAAGGTCATCAAAACTAAACCAACTAATTACAGATCAATAAGTCTTACTCTTTTTCCATGTAAATGTTATGGGGACAATAATTAAAAGTAAATTATCATTTGTATGGCAGTAGGATTCTAGGGTACAGACAACAGTTTTGAGATGATGAAATTAGTGGAGTACCACATGGATCAGTATACAATCACTGCCTAGTTTAGATTATAAGTACATAAGAACAGTTACAAAAGAAAGGAAGTAATTTCGACCCTCTTAGCCAGTTTGGAAGTTAGTAGTAAATTGATCTCACCTAGCCATTTCTTGAAAGAAGCCAGGTTATCGGTTTCAACAGAATGGATGGGTAGCTCCCACCTACAACCCTTAGGGCAAAGAGCTGCTTCACATACTGTAACTCACTCCACTTGTGCCCTCTGGTTTGTGTTTTACCGTTCATTCTGATGAAACCCACTCAGTTTATCAATGTCTTTGAGGATTCTGAATACTGGTCACGCCCATTATAGTCTCTATTCCAGACTAAAAAGGTTCAGTTCCTTCAGCCTGTCAAAGTACGATATACCTTTAAGCCCCAGAATATTGTTCTGGTACTGTATATCTTCACTATACTGATTTCAGAGCAACAACGTCTATTCTATAATGTGGTGACTATAATTGTACATAAAATTCTAAACCATGTCTTATTGGTGCAATATAAATTTTATCACAGCATTCCTTAATTTAAATTCTACACTTTTATTAACTATACAATTTTGACTATGACTACAGTATATACAGTATAGTGTGTTTCAGGCCATCTAATGTTTATAAGTTTTCAAAACTTATTTATGAAGTCAGGACCCCAGAAGCTAAAAGTTTTCTTATTTTGTTCAGTGTGAAGAATAGTAATAAAAATAATAATAATACCTATTTCACATAAAAGCTGTTAGACCAGGACCCAAGAGTACACGCTGATATTCAAGATGTTATTATGCTGTTTGAGGGAAATAAAAAGGCATTCATTGTAAAACTGCACCTCTGGAATGGGAATCCTATCAAATCATTTTACATATCCTGCTTCTTGACATCCACGGCAGAGGACTGGTTCATTCTTCCATACCACCGGATCTCAATCTACACGATGTGATTTTCACGTAGGGTTTACCTGAAAAACTAAGTATTCCAGGCTAATAAAGGTAGGTTTGAGGATTTAAAGGCGGCAATTCATTCCAATTTACCTAACATGTTTTAAAGGGCATTACAAATTTTTCAATTTTGGAGATTGTCTTTGAGCATAGAGGAGGACATACTGGAGATGCTTTAAAACAATGGACTGCATGTCAGTTTTAGGAAAATGTACATACAAATTTGATGTATCTTACAGTACATGATTAAAAGATCAATAAAAAATCACCACATAGCCTTTTTTCAAGCAGAAAGATACTGAAAGGCTAATGCTCAGAAGTTCTTTCTTTTTTTCTTTCGGTTAACTTGGCAGACTAAAAAATAAAAATTACATAATGTGGCTGACATTAAAAGATTAAGACTATCAAAAAAAATTCACTACTGGAAATGCAGATAACGTTTCTAAACCTGTCTCTATGCGAGCTGTAGCTGGTTTATAAATGCCGTTGTTTTTAAGTTTTATCTACAATGCTTAGCATTTGAATAGGTTTCCAAGTGATTCTTAAAACATTGGAAATGTATGATTTACTTATTTATACCTTGTCTTTTGAAGTTAGACCACAACAGATGTTTAAAAATGAAACATCATGCTGTCATCAACTTCTTGACTCCATAGAACACACACATCAAACGCTTAACAAGCTTCATTTGGTTTAGTGTTCAAAGATTTTAATGAGCTTTGATTTTTCGATTTTCAGCATACATTATGATCAACCTGCCAAACATAAATTACACATAAGCAATGAATTAACCCTTTAAATACAGATCCATGTTTGAATAATTTTATGTTCTGATATGCTCCAAATATTTATATCAAATATTTATATTAATTCCATCAGATATTATTCTACTGTTCTTAATTGGAATAATATGAAAAAACATTAAATCAAAAACATCTACGGTATTTGG